CCCCAAAACCCCAAAACCCCAAAACCCCTTTTTAGTCAAATCTTAAAAATATTTGATAATCTTATTTGAAATTAAATTTTAGCTTTTTGTGTGAGTCATTTTTTGTTGAAACTCATAGTCAATTGAATCTTGCCTTTGCTCTCAGCTGCATTAGCACTGGCAGTAGGAGGCTGCTATATTCCAGGTTTACCCTAGTTGTCAGTCTAAGGTTTTACCTGACCTACAGCTGACATAACTGCAAATTGCTTTATAATTTTTTCAATCAAAGCCCTCTCATTCATATTAGTATCAGGATTTTGAATATAGTTCCTAAATGCTAAACCATCAATTTGGAACAACTTAAATATCAATTCAGCCTAAGCATTTCTGAATGTTCCCTCAATACTTCTATTTTGAATAATCGTAAAGATCAACAGCATATATTGACTTAGCACATCACTTCTCTCTTATGTGTCAAGTTATACTGTATAGACTTGCATTAGGAAATTAATCAAATCAGACATTAGCTGATATGTTGTTTTCTCAATTTAATCTTAGCCATCACCTTTAGTTACTTGATAAATAAGCGAAATACTAAGCGATAAAAGGTACTTTGAAAGATTCCTAAAGTTTATTAAATCCTTTTGGATGAACTGCAGATAAATCTTGTTAAATAACATAATCAAAGGATAGTTATTAGCATTTGAATAAACTTGGTCAAAAGCAGAGTAAAGTTAGGATTGATACTTTTAATCTTTTAGTAGATTTAATAGCTGGCATTGTATTAAGAGTTGATACTGTAATTAAACATAAGATTTGTCTTCCTGAGAAAGTATCTAGTTGAAAATTACAATAAATATCTCAACTATTCTTTGACTAAGTTCATCCTTACTATGCGGTAGGAGCATATTAATAACTTAAATCTGTATCTGGGAATAAAATCTCAGTAAAGAATCATGAGATATGTCCTTGTATCCAAGTGTGATTCTATAGAGCAAATACGCAACAATTTTCAATTTGATTTCTTTTTTACTTAATTCGGAGTTTTGTAAATTATTGCTGAGCAATGCAAGCAAAGTATCCATACAGGATTTTATCAGCTTTATTTCATTTGCTGTATAATCAACTTAACCCTGTCTCTTTTAGCCAATTAACTCAGGTTATATACCAACGTGTATTGTAATAATCTTTTATAGTATTTGATTTTCTAGTGGAGTTTTTTAATTAGTCTCCAGTTAACTTAGTTGCTTGTTTGAAACGATATTTTGATAGAACTTAACTATTTCATCATTAATGTCTACTATTCCATAGCCCTAGAGATTATCTAATATAGCTACATATTAATCTATCTCCTCTTGTTTACTTATCAATAATTTCCCATCTCCAAAAAGTTTATTAAGCATTGAAAGAGTGAGTTATTTGACTTTGACTAAATTGTATATCATTTACTTTTCATTCTTAGAATCATCTTCAGGTGGCTAGGAATCTTTTTGATTTTAGCTCTCATTTTTCTCTGGTTTCGCTTCAAAGGGTTTAGATAGATAGAAACTGAACAGACTGTTTAGGATAAGACTTTAATCGTTATTGAAACTTTAAAAGATTGAGACTTTTCTAGTAGTCTCATAGTCTTTTATCAGAGATAGAGCTTTCATAAAGTATTGGATTGAGTTTTCAATAGTATCATGGTTGTAAGCACTTCTTGAGCCATTCTTATAGATGAATGTAAAGTCTTTTACTGATTTAATGCTAGACTTTGGCATTGTGGTGATCATTAACCCATCTTATAGGGCAGCCATAAGATGATTTGTAAAGCTTTTGATAATTTCAGGAGTTAAAGTTTCAAGGATCCTTTCCTTATCCTACTTTAAGAATTTACTCATCTTTTGATCTTTAGCCAGCTCATCTGGGTTGTTCTTCATTGCTGCGCCTGAAAGTTTCTTAATGTTTAATTCTATTCTGCTAAACTTCTCTGCTTAGAGACACTTTATGAGAATCTTAGAAATTAGAATCAATCTCTTGAAGTGGAGTTCTGTCAGGATTTTCTCATAGAATAGCATTTCTGAGCTATTAAAGATATGGATTCCTTGAAGAATGCTCTCTGTCAGAGATTAAATGATTTTTCCAATTATGGATGGATCTCTGCAAATGGGTATAGTCAAAAAGTGGTAGATAAGCTTGAAGTTTTTCATCACAATGAATGGGTCAATTAGCTTAGACTGAGCAATATTCATATTCTGTCTGATGATCGAGAATATTTGGGCTTCATACTATTCAAGAAGCAGAGGATTATTTTGATACACATCCATTTAATTGCTGGGATCATCATCATCGTCTCCAATTTTCTCTATGCTGAATTTGAACAGTTTTACTATAGTGATAATAATTGAGAAGCCAACTCGTTTCAAAATTGATGAGTCATCTGATATAATTGAGAATCCTAGAGAGATCAGAGACCCTAGATGTTTCTTCAAGTCATCTGTTAATAGTCAACAATATTAAGTATTACATTTGGAGTCTGCGTTGTCTACAGTCCCATAAAGCTTGAGGTAAGATTTGAATACTTTAGAGACAAAGAATCTCACTTTCTCGTTTATGTTATAATCCAATTTGAGCTGATTGCCTGATTTTGCTTCCTCTGGAATTACTTCTGATTTCTCTCCAGGTTTCTTCACTTCACCCAGTTCTAAAGAAATTATACAAACAAATTTTACTTTAAGATAGAGATGTATGAGAGTAAGAGACAACTCTTCTGGTGAATTCTAACGACTCTTTGAAATTGAAGCTCGTATCTATCTTGAATGCAATCACGAATAAGACTTCAACAGCATTCCTGTAGAGTAGATTTTTAGCAACAGCTTTATCAGCAGAGCCTTGAATAACTTTCTAGTTCTAGAAATTATTTATCTGCCTGATGTTTATAACGCTCTCGAATTCCTCAAAGCTGCTCATTGTGGATCTAATGGAGGACTTAATCTTCTTCAAGAGTCTAGTCTCCTGATAAGCTTGCTGGGACACTTCGTAAGTCATATTGATTTAGTCCAATAAGAAACTCAAAAAGTCTTCCTTCTTGACGGTCGTGAAATAGTGCTTGATGACGTTAATGTAGCCTTTGTAGACCAGAGAGGCTAAGATCTCTATGCACTTAATCTTAATATTCAAGTTAAGCAGTCCGTTGGATTTGAGCAGAGTCACTACCTTCTCTAATATCTTCTCTATTCTTCCACTTACTAGTTAGAATTAGTTTAATTTATTTTACATTGATCAATGTCTAGAATAAGTAGAGTCTTCAAGTAATCTAATGAATTCTTAATTAAGCCAACATCTCTCGATGATCGATCCTCTCTCAAAAGCAAAATCTATTCTAATTAATGACCACTAAAGTACCTCAATAAATTCCTTCACTACGATCTGTGCCCTTCTGCTTTCATTAACTGGCCCCATATTTTGCCTTAACTGGCATTCCACCATCTTGCCGAGTGAGTTCAAGACTAGATAATCAGTTTTGATATCAGTTTGCATTTGATGAAAGCAAGTTGGGAACAGATTAGCAAAGAACTGTTAGTAGTCCTAGCCTACTCTCTTCACTGTGATGTAAGCATAGTGAAGGAAATACTCCCTCACTGTGTTATTGTTTTCTTTCGATAGCTTGGTGAATATTTCCTGAATCCTAGGCATAAATGGCTACAGAAGACTTTCATAGTCCAGGTATCTAACTAGATTAGCTATCACTGTTATTACCTTCGTCTTTTTAAACCCTAAATAAATTTAAGCTGCTCATTAGCTTACATTCATCTTGAGCCGTGGTCTAGGATAGCTATTAGAATATGATCTCTTATTCTTTAATGAACTAGTCTAGCTGCCTCTAAGGCTCTTTAAGTATTGTAGGGATCTAAAGAAATACAGTTGCTTCTGATTGAATTCTCAACAAGGTCATGTTTTGATATTGCTCGCAGTTCTTTAGAATTTGCTTAAGCTAGGCATGAATCTCAACATCTTGTAAGTCACTTTTCTTGGCGTTAATTTTTGCTACTTATAGTGTAGCCAAAGCAACTGCCAGGACTTTATTAATCTTTTACTCCTAGCTTTAGTTGTTGTTTTTGTCTTAGCCTTTCTTGGTAGATTAAGTTTGTAGAGGTAAAGTATGCGAGATAAAATGCTTTACGAGTTGCTATTTGTTTTTCAAATTCAGGTTATGACTAGAAAATATCTCTCCAAAGAGAAGAATCGATCCTTTCATGATCTAATCTTTGATGCTGAATTTCTGAGTTTTAATATCACTTAGTGGTTTCTCATATCTAGTAATTTAAACGAATGGCTCTATCATCACACCCTCTTCAGCATTTAGAATCTTCAGTTTATCTCTGTTTAAGATAGAATAAAACTTTCTAGTTGGTTGGGAGTGTTTATTCCTCAGTACTTTATCCTCAAAGTGTAAAAATTCTATAGATATTTATTAAAATTTAAATATACCTTTAATATAGTTGTTTTCTCTTTAGGTATCTTCGGACACTATCTCTTCACAAACAGTGTGCAGAAGATGTACAAATTTAGATTGGTATAAGGAGGAGGGTATCATCAAGAGACATTCATATATGTCACACTTTACCTGAGCATACTCAATAGGGAATACTGTCTAGAACAATCTGATCAAGTCTTTCTTTTCCTTATCTTAGTTAATGAAGAAGGAAACAGCATTAACTAGGAAAGTTCCTATCAGCTTTAGCAATTGGTTGTTGAGTAAGACAAAGCATTTGCTAAGGAACTATCTGATTGTAGATAAGGCGGCCTTCTTAATTCTGAATTCATTTAGAATCTTCTCCTGATAATTCTAATCCTTCAATTGAATTGGGTTCACAATGCACATATCTTTGGTGAATACAGACTATTTAATCTTAATAAAGTATGAAGCTTACATTCAGCAGTTTAAAGAATAAACTCAGTCTTGTGCCCATCCATTAGTTACCAAGACTGACAAGTCCTTCAAATATAATCCATCCTGCTTCTCTTCTTTGATTTTCTTGCAAGTCTACTTTTTGTAAATCATTTGAGAAGAAGTATTCATCTTCATCCTCTCCTACTTTCCAATTGCCTAAGATCATTCCTTTAGCCACATTGATGGTTTAATTAATTAAAGCCAGAGGAACTCCTCCAAGACTATGATTGATACTAGTAATTAAGCAAGTCAAAGATGATGCCTGTGCATTCAGATTAGCAAGGTTATCATGAAGAACTTATTGATCTGGTTTCATCAAGTTTCTATCAGCTTGCAGATGAAGAATTGGTACTTATCTAAGTGATGTCAAATCTGCATTTGTAATAGTAGCAAGGGATAAAAATATTGAAACGATCTCGTGTATTAAATGAGAACATCTGAATCCAATAGTCTTAATGACTTCCACTCCATACATCCTTACAGCATGTGACTGCTAATCCTTGATATAAGGCATTATGGGATCAATCAGTTCTTTTTCACTTGCAAATGCCTTCTTTAGTTCCTAGGAGGATAATCTAAACAAGCACTCAGTAACCATTCTTAGCAAAGTTATAATTTGACTCTCATTCAGCATAGTTGATAACTTTTGATTTTTGCAAAATCCTTAAAAGATCTCAAGAGTGTCTTTGCTCAGAATTAGTTATCTTTGAAGCAGACTTTAGAGGCAATGCTTTAGGATTTATATTTTTTATTGAGGGTCATATTACAATACTGCTTAATTGAAAACCCACAGACTCACTTCTCTTTGCTTAAATGTATCAGCATCCTATTGTGAGATTTATTAATTCTTTCCAATTAAACTTAAGAGTAGAGGATTTAAAACACTCTCAGTATCAACCATCTCCAGATGCACTCTATTATTTTCGATTAATCTCCCCATTACTTAAGATAAGGCGTATCTTAGATTGTCCATTGAAGAAATATTTGCTGCAGTTATTTGTATTCTCACTAAGATAGCACAGAGGAATGAAATCATGTCTGAGAGAGTTCTCGGAACATCATAAAAGTTTTGACTTTGTTTTTTCTTTTGTGGCCCAGACAAAGCATCTCTTTGCTATTAATTGTAAGTTCTGAAAGTAGTCTTGATATCCCCTTACTACTGAGACTCTTGAAGTCTGAGGTTAAGTAAATGGTAACAGGTAAGAATAAATTATTCCAGAACAGCAGGATTTGAGTCTTCAAAGCCTTTGATAGAGACTTGTAAGATTTGATCGAAACAAGAATGCATTGAAGTATAATTCAGAGTAGATTAGACGTAGACTCTCAAGCATGTTGCTATCTGATTAAAATGAAGTAAAGTAAAAATTTACCTCTGCCTTCACGTCATTACTCTTATCGCTATTGACTAGTTTTAAGAGATGCTTCAAGAGATCTCCACTTATCTGAAACAAGTTGCTAGGATTCGATTTTATAATTTGTTTGATTCCTTTAAAAGCACATTCTTTGGTAAATCTCTAAAAAATGATAAGCTTTATAGTCATATAACGATACATCCTAAGAATTCTTAGCAATTTTGAAATAGGCATCCACCAAATCTTTGGTTGGAGGTGTATGGCATCTTGGCCATAGTGCTTTAAATATTTTACTACTCAAGTAGCAACCAGAACTAATAATTATCATTGATAATTGATAAATTTACATTTTAACATGAGATGATGCCTTAGGATTTTAAATCTATGGCAGAATTTACTCAAAGAACTCGCTTTGAAGCTTAGTGAAGTCTCCATTTAAGAATAAGTTTTTAAGCAAGTCTAGCATGCCTCTCATAAGTGAAGCTCCACATCCATACTAGCAAAGACCTAATACTCCTTAAACTATTTAGGTTTGATAAGCCATCAAGGGTCTCTATTATGGTGACTATGATAATTTCTTACTCTTTGGAGCAGATTAATCTCAAAAGACATGGAATCTATAAGATCTCTTTTCCTAGCCAAGGTTAGTTTTTCACCTTACTAAATCCATATAATTAATACTAATTACAGGATTTTTGAAATAGGCATCAAGCTATTTCAGCATTTTTTCCAAATTCGGACTCGTGACTGACTATCCAGCAGACATATTAACTAAATTTAAATATTATTCCAATCTAAGTAAATCTAAACTAGATATATCCCTATGGGGTTTTGGGGTTTTGGGGTTTTGGGG